TATTTTATAAAATAACAAAAAAATTAAAATCCCTACTGCTATTTTTAAAAATTTTTTTTATTTTTTATGTATATTTTAGATTTCTTGAATTCAACAAATAAATTTTTGTAAATGGTTTAAATTAATTTAATATTTTTAATCATTCCCCTTTTTTTTTTTTCCTTGCATAAATGGTTTAAATATTTTATAATTTTCGTATTATTTCTCCCACAATTCTTCTCAGAAAGATTACTGCAGCAGGTTAGGAAGACCAAATGCATCCATACTTCAAGAACGGTATATTGACAAATTTGGCTTATTAGCGACAATAAGACACAGCAAATTAACATATTTTGATATTTTAAAAAGTCATAAAAATTTAGAGAGAACAATAACAGAGGGGTATATGAAGAGAGAGGAGAGGTAAGGCCCCGAACCAGAGGATGGGTCCCGAAAGTGGCAGATGATCTACAGATGGGTGTATTGGACGCAGAACAGACATCTTGCTTGTTATGGAGGAAGTTTTCTGAAGGTTCTGCAAGGAACCTGTTTCTGACTAAACGTCCGATGGCTAATAGTACCGAGTTCTATGTTGATTAACAAATCTTCTGACGTGTCCGGTGTGCGTCTCGTTTTTTGCTGTGCCGATCTTAATTCCCAAGTCTGCCATTCTGGCGAGTGATGTGGATTCACTGCCACCAAAGTCCTCTATCCTTCCCATTTCTCTGAGGGCATTGATAATATCAGCATGATCCATAGGCCGACCGTCGGTAGTGATAGCGGATCCAGCCAGCCTGTCAGCTCTTTCATTTCCATCGACGCCTGCGTGTCCCGGAACAAAAATAAAGGTGACTCCTCGCACAGTGGACTTCTGAATTGATTCAAGCCATTGTCTTCGCACTGAACCTGCCTGAACCCTCCGGATCATACTCATTGAATCACTGAGTATACATATGCGGGTGTATTTTTGTGTGTTTCAAGCCAGGCAAACGCTTGCGTCACTGCCATCACCTCCATCGTCATGCTGCTGGTTGTCATGGAGAAGGCGCCGTTGGCTTCTTTGACTGTTCTGCCCGCTGAGCGTGCTGTAAATGCCCATGCGCTTCTTCTTTGGCGTATAACGGATCCGTCTGTATAGATTATTGCATCTGCTTCGTCTGAATTTTCACCGATGAGAGCGTTGACCTCTGCATTAACAGCAAAAAAAAACAGGATTCTCTTCTCTACATCGCCTGTTGAGTGTGACAATACAGGAAAATGTACAAATAAACGCCTGAGGCACAGGTATCCATTCTGCACCAGGTATGATGTCGGTTAGGCTGCATATTTGCCTAATAACATCTTCTGCCCGACCTAGCCATGATTTTCCCCTCTTCAGTCTGTCGCCCTTTTCACTAAAAAGTGCTTGATGCAGTGGGTGTTTCTTATCAGCACATATTTTGAGGTATGCCCGAGCCCTCCACATCCTGATCCTTTGGTTCATTGTTGGAAAGTCAAGTAGATACCTCATTGCTCCACAGGATGTGTCTCTTGTACATCCCAAAATAATACGCATGGCTTCATTTTGCACCTTCTCGAGTCGTTCAATCTGGGTAGCACTGACAGTGAGGATGGCCAGAGCGTATTCAATGGGGGAAAGGACCAGACCGTAGAATAGAAGCACCAGCAGTCTTTGCTCGATATTGGAAGCAGCCATAATCCTCATTGCAGATAGACCTTTGCGTGCTTTTGTTATCGCATGGTCAACGTGTTCCCTGAATGACAAGCTGCGATCGAACCTCACCCCGAGAAACGTCATAACGTTGGTTCTGATCAATACATTATCACGCATTTTCACTTCTGGTAAGTCCGACTTGACAAGGTGATTGTTCAAAGAGAACCATGACACTGCTGCCTTCGAGGGATTGACATAGGCATTGGAACCATCACACCAGGCGGCAATTCGATCGAGTTCTTTGTGCATTGTGCTGGCGATCTCCTGTCTATCACGCCCTCGTCGATAAATCAAAATGTCATCAGCAAATGACAAAGTCCTTCCCTTTCCATTCAACTGCTGCTCAGTGATCATCACCGTATAAACGTTGAATAAGACTGGTGATAGCGGTGATCCCTGTGGCAAGCCTGGACATATCGTTTGCGGTTCTGAGGACCAGCTACCACATCTTAGTGCAATCTTTCTCTCTGGAACAGGACCGCAGCAATCCAGCGGATCAGAATAGGATTGACTTCTAGTTTAAGCAGAAATTGCATTCAAATAATCATATGGTACTTTTATTGTAGGCATCTTCTAAGTCCAACACTGCCGCACATGTCTCTTCTTTAATCTGAAATCCCTCGTACACATCGTAGGCGAAAACAGCAGCATTGGACCATGTCTCTTTCTTCAATCTGTACCCTCCAAGTGTTGATGGGAACTTATCATGTAGTTCTAAGTAGGTGGTCAATCTTTGTGCGACAATTTTTTCCAAAAGTTTGCCAACAGTATTCTGCATCGAGATGATTCTGTAGCCGCAGATCTTTGAGTGGTCTTTATTAGGCTTTGGTAGTGGAAACAAATAACTATGGAGCCATTCCTCTTGTATCTGGCCACTCTGGATGCTGATATTGAATTCCTTTGCCACGCTTTTCAAATCAGCATTCGACATCATCAGCATGTCATTGTATCGGATGCCGTCAGGGCCTGGAGCAGTGCTGCGCGATTTCTTGAGGCAAGTTCTTAAGGTGTCTGCAGTGATTGTGAAATCAGTGCCTAGCTCAGTGTTCTCGCACAGCATCGACAGTTTCATCTTAACCCCTATTCTTGCAGCTTCGTCTTTTTGGTCAGTTTGCTCCAAGTAGCGCGCAAGAAGGGTTTTTCCTTTATCAGCATCAGTTCTCTGCCATATCAGGTCTGTACCCTGAAAATCAGGGATACCCCTTATATATATATATATATATATATATATATATATATATATATATATATATATATATTATATATATATATATATATATATATATATATAAATAAGAGTGACATTACTGAGCAATGACTCTTCGTCATTCTTCATCATTTATTAGCTTAAAGATTTTGAGTTGGCAAGCAAAAACTGAGACAGTTCTTGTCCATACTCATTAAAAAAACTACTATTACTGTTGTGTAATTATCAAACTTACCTTTTTTCGCCTTGTGTGATACTTAGTGTTTGACTGTGCCTTTCCTTTACATCTGGCAGAAATGGTTTACTTGTGCTCATATTCATTCTTGCAAAACAGATATATCTGAAGACTTTTTTCTTTCTGCTCCCAAGTCAGATCACGTATATCTACCTTCCTTTTTGACATCATATCTGTTAAAAGTTGTGATTGTTGAACTAAAAATTCTCAATATAAGTCATAATAGTTATTCAACAAAGGGGACAAAAAAACACACTGTAAAGACAAATTGTAAATTTAATCCTCATACCAACCTTGTGCTATCAGCATTGACTAAAGACATGAGAGAAAACTCACGACATCCCAAAATGAGATATTTAAGAAGATTGTGACACAAAACTAGAAACGGATCATGTGAGAAATGAAGAAATTACAAAAAGCAATATCTGCAATAAAATTCAAAGAAAAGCAGACTAAAATCATTTGGTCATTTAATGAGAATGAACCCACTGATGCCAGAATTGAGAGCGTGCAATATGAAAGTGAAACACCAAGAGGTAGGAGATGACCAGGAAGAAGATGGATTGAAGGAGTCACTGATATCTTGAGACTCCACAATATCACAGTATAACGGGCAACCTAGCATGCTCTAGTTTGGATACCAATTGTCTTTGTTAACCCGTGACACCTTATGGCACATAGCAGACTATGGACACAAGAAAAAAAGAAGATTAGAACAAATTCTGGACAAATGTTCCTATATTTGAATGTTCATTTATATCAATGTCGAAAATTCACGTCTTGACAGAGCCAGATTTAAAAAAGTAAAATGTTTTTGACTCCCAGGTCAACCCAGCCTTGATGCAGTCCTTGGAAGCAAAGGCGGCCGATGTGATGCTGATCATATCACCCACCAAGTGCCAAATGGTCTATACAAATATAGGTCTAGCCCTATATTTCCAATATGCCTGGGCGTGGAAAGGGGACCTTTTCTTTTTACTTATATAAATCAATTGACAAACAGAGAAATACTTATTTACGTTCTATAACCAGTTCCAAATATGGAATTTAACTCTTATAAGAGCAGCTTGAACCATTTGTGAACCAGCATCTCTGCTGGTTAGCACTAGAGCTGAAAAGCAACAAATCCACAACCATTCAAATTACATTTTCTTGAGTGTAAAACATGTATAATTTATGATCTCTTTTCCAACTGACTGTCTTTGCGTTATATGCGTTTACTTCATTTATTGTGTTAAATAAAAACAATATTAAAATATTTTCTTCTCATATTTTGTGTAAGCTGCTAATATTACATTTCTGACACTTTATATGAACTAGTGGTTGCCAAAGTAATTGATTCTCTGGTAAAATACATTTTTCCTTTTCTTCAAGAGCCTCTTTCACCTTCTTTATTTCTCATCCAGCTACACAGAAAATGCGGACAACAGAGTCCGTCTGCTGTTGAAGCAGAAGTTCACAAGCCTTGATTTTCAAGAATGAGCAGAAGTTCAAGCTTTGATTTTCGAAAATGTCCTAGAGGGTAATGCTGTCATTTACACAGATGGGTCTGTCATCCTCCATGTTAGAAGCTTATGGGCTTTCACGATTCAGGTTGGAGGGTAAGTCGTGAAGGAAGATTCTCGAGCTTTTGCCTTAACTACAAGTAGTCTAAATAAAAAGGTCATGGCTGTGATTAAAGCAATAACATGGCTAGAGAAACAGACTTTCACTGGTGCATGCTTTCTCAGTGACTCAATGAGTATGCTCAGGAAGGCAGTGGTTGGCGGCTCTTCAGGGTTCACGACTGACAAGGATTAGTTTCACTTTCATGCCAGAACATGTGGGGATATAAGGGAATGAGCAAGCTGATAGACTTGCAAGTGAGGCTACTGTGAAAGCAGTACATGCTATAGACCAGGCTGATATACTGAATGCTCTACAAGATTTAAGACGTTTGCATGAAACAACTCAGAACTGTGAATCTGCAACCATGGTCAGACTGCATGAACAGCAAGTAAAACGGTGACGCCAAACAAGAACACTATGCGGGTAGCCAAAGAATAATAATAAACCAATACAGAACCGGTGTTCTCAGTCGCTACAGGCTGCAGGATTTACTGAGGAGGGGATCCAAACACTTATGGACTGAGTGGTCTGACATGCAATGAGAATAATCTGTCGACTAACTAACTAACTTTATTAAACTCCCTCCTCTGCCCTTTCTTTCTCCCTGTTATCTACAGGGTTTCTTAAACCTTTTGTGTTTTTGAACATTGGGTTAAGAAGTAACATCTAGTAACAGTTCTTGCGTGTGTTACTTAAATACGGTAATAATTTATAGTTTCAGAAATTCCATCAAATGATTATTTGCAAGGGTAATTTCTGTTATGTGCAAGTGCAGTGTGGTAGTCCATGGTCAGTGTCAGCTTCATTCCATTGCAGACCCTAAAGTGTTAAAGATATTTAAAGTTTTATGTTATAGACTTTTGTTCCACCCAAGATTTAAAGAGAGTCAGTCATAAACATAATTAGAGTTCAGTACAGTATAATACAGAAAATAATAACCTAATTGTGTGTCCAGTTAATGAATCTACTTTGCTTGATTGGAAGCAAAGAACATTAACACTGTACTCTACCAAGCATCATCCTCAATTTTAAAGGGACCACCATGCAGTTTGAGAGTAGTACAAGATAACTGAGCTCATCTTGATGTAGAGTCAACATTACAGTATTCAGGATAAACCCATTCCAGCTCCATATCCCCCTCAAGAGCCAATGAAGAGTCTCCATACTGATGGTGCCTATTATCATCTGACTAAATACCGTTAAATGCCATTTTCTAGAGTCTTGAGTGGTGCTCAAAGCCCATAAACACCCCCCCACTGCATCATTCTCTCAGGTATGAGTGTTTAGTATCTTCAATTTTACCTGTTGCCTCGTCCCACTGGCAAAAGATCACATTTGCCTTGTATAGCTACAGTGTGTCCCAGTGGGGGAAGGGGGTGTGGCAATACACCTCTGTGGTGCTTGTCCAGCCAACCTATCTACCTATTCATTCCCATTCTGGATTGGTAAAACGTATTCCATATGAAGAAAACGTTATTCCACCTTACTGAGCATGCTCTGTGAATCTGACACTAAGACAAAAATGTGTGGCAATTTTTCCATCCACTGGAATTCTGCAGTTAACCCATCAACCTCTATTCTCATACTGGATGTGATAATGAATGAATCAAGAATTGATATCACTGCACTCCTTCTTTAGCAGCCAACAAAGAGTCAACTTGCTAATAGTACCAGTTGCAGCCTGATTTCAAGTCTGCCTATGTTTCCCCATCAGGGTTGAATATATTCCAGAACCTCTACTCTCTCATCCCCATGAAGAATTTTCTTTCAATATGGACTCTCTGTCTATTCTATTGCATTGTCCATTGGATCCCCAAGAGCCTTTACCATATCATGTGGTATTGTCATATGCTATCCTATTCTCAGTCCTCCTTCTCCCTCGGGCCTCCACTCTTTCTGCCTCTGGCCGCTAATACCCCAGTGTATATGATTACACTTCTCCCCTCCCCCAGAGTTATCCTCTATCAGCTGCTGAGCCTCTGCCTGGTCTGCGAGATATTTCCTGTATTCCTGCCATAAGCTGACTTTATTTTAACCTTGTGCAACTCTTTTCTGCATAAGGGTTATTTTCTAGTTTTGGATTGTATCCTGATTGCTGCTACTCTTTTAGATTCACATTTTATTTTAACTATATGTTATTTGTTTCTGTAAAATGATAAATCAAACTGCATAATTTTATCTTTTAATTAGATAATTTGATAAAATAACAATATAGGATATTCAAAAGCAATGGCATAAAAACTCCAAGTTTTGTAGAATGACATTTTTCATGTGTGCATATTGCTTTTGTTTTCCTTTTCTGTATATAACAGTATGGTTAATAACATTGAATTTAAAAAAATATTTTTTTAAATAATAAAAAAAAAAAAAAAGCCCACTTACAATATCTCTGCAGCTTCTATGTCATTGTATACACTGTTTGTACTTTGCTCCATCTGAGTGAAAGTTCTAATTTTCGGGTATGCTTCTCTACTGGCATGAGCTGCAAGTACTTTCTGATGAAATGCTGCAAATGCCTCTTTTCTGTACTGACTCCTGATGTATTAATAATATTATTAAAAACAAAATGTTAAATAAAAAAAAAAAAAAAAAAAACTAACAAATGAATTTCAGAAACATATATTCTTTTTAATATTGTTTCATGTTAGGGTTAGGGCTAGTGCTTGAGTTGGAGTTAGGGTTAACCCTATCCCAAACAATATTAACTCTTTGAGTCCCAAAGAATGCATCATACGTTAATAGGTTTCCGCCTAGAGGCCCAATAAACGCAAGATGCGCTGATTTTACATCTCTTTTGACTACCCTTTCGGGCCTCTGATGCTAAACCCCCTGGGACTCAAAGAGTTAAAGATGACAGAATATTATTAATAGGTGAACTTACACAAACACTGAATTACGCTCCCTCTCCTCTCTCTTGTTTCCATCTCCTATGCCAAATGGGCCTCTGTTTCCTCCTTCTTTATCTGCTCCCCATAATTTTCGTTTTGAAATCCCCCATGATTATTACGTTAAGTCTTTTTTTCCCTACCTTTTTTAATGTCTCTTCTTATTTGCACAAAAATTGTGAATTTTTCTCTGATGCAGATGTTGGTGCATAAACTTGAATAATTGTGATGTTTCTTTTCATTGAGTCAAGTCTGACAGTGAGAATTCAGTCACTGATCAGATTGTATCCAAGAAGTGCTGAAGAAACCTTTTTTTGTTATCAGAAAGGAAACTCCATTCAAACCATGTTTTTCTTTTTCTGAGTAAACAAATGTATCTCCTGTCTGGGTAACAAAGTGGCCTTGACCCACCCATCTATGTTCAGAAATTCCTAGTATATCTATTTTGTTTCTTTCAAGTTCTCTGCCAATGATGGTAAGCTTTCCCTGATACAAGCTTCTAACATTTAAAGTTCCCAACTTTAGAGTTTTCCTCTGCATTACCGTCGGGCAACTACAACTACCGTTACTTCCTATGATGATGAAACCCAGAGCTGCAAAATGTCTATTAGAACAGAAGCCTATTTCAAGCAAAATAGTTAAAATACGGTTTAGTACAAGACATAATAAAAAGACCATCATTCACTGTTATGCTCCAACTAATGATGCTGAGACTGAGGATAAAGATCACTTTTATGACCAACTGTAGCATCAAGTCAATAAAATTGCTAAACATGATATAGTGATAGTAATGGGAAGTTGTTAACACAGAAGTAGGTAGTGAAAATATGAGTGTTCAGAGAGCAATTGGTAAGGAAGGAGCTAACACAAAAAATGAAAATTGAGAACGACTAGCTAAATTCTGTATGCAGTCAGATCGAGTGACTGGAGTCACCATCTTTGCTCATAAAAAGATACATAAATTAACTTGACACTCACCAGACAGAGTTATTAAAAATTAGATAGACCACATCTGAAAAAAAAAAAAAAACACACAAGCTCTGTATTGGATGTCCGAGCATACAGAGGAGCAGACGTGGGCAGTGACCACATCTTATGTGTAGGAAAATTAAAGCTGAAATTAAAAATAGGAGCTAAAATAATGTGCAACAAAGAATAGATAATCACATTGTACAAATAAGAGAAGAGTTCCAACTTGAGCTAAAAAAACAGATCTGAAGCCCTGAAGTAAAGGGTGATCAGAGTATTGAGGAAATTTAGAATGATATAAACGTGGCAATTTTAGAGGCAGGACTAAAGAAGTAGGATAGAAAACCTTGGATAACACATGGCAGTGTATTCAGGAAAGAAAAAACACAGAAGTTTACCATATGCAATGCTAAAACAGTGAAACAAGAAATCAGGGCTAAAGAAGATTACAACAAGAAAAACAGTTAACTAGAACTTTCAAACTGTGAGGTGGTCCCATTAAAAGGAAGGACAGTACAATGCTTAAATCGGATACTTAGCAGAAAAAGAAATCTTAAACAGACCTATTCCACAAAAACCAATGCATTTTGATGAAGAGGCGAAAATTGAGGGCAGCTAAATGACATGGAAATCAGAGAGTCAATCAATTTATTAACAAACAATAAGGCAGCAGGTGATGTGAATATGACTGCAGAAATGCTCAAGGCAGCAGATGATGTAACCATAAACGGGGTGAAATGTTTAACTCTTTCAGACCAAAGAAAGGGATCATACGTTCATAGATTCCTACCCAGAAGCCCAATGAACGCAAGATACACAATTATACATTTATCTTTACTTGCCTCTGGGCCTTGCATGCTACTACCTGGGACCTACTTAAGATCTTTATTTCCCATTTTAATACCCTTTTGGTGATATTCTGCTCATTTGTTTTCAGGATGTGTCCAGTATAGTATCATCTTCTCTGTCTTATAACTAATTGACCAGACATGACTCTTATTCTTCACCCTTTTTGAATTAATCCCATTTAATGTTCATCATTTTTCTCAGGCATTTCTTTTGGAATGCATTTAACTTTCGTTCCATGGCTTTAATGGTTCTCCAACTTTCACTGTTGTATGTTAAAATTTGAATAACATTAAAACTGAAAATTCATAACTTGGTTTTAAAACTGTACAATTTAGAGTTTCATATTTTGTTCAGGCTGATAAAAGCTGCTGATGCCTTGCCAATGTGTGTCATAATTTCTTTCTTTACACTTCATTTCCTATCAAAATTACTAGCCAAATAAGTAAATTGATGATCATCAACGTCATCATCGCTGTTAGCCGTTATGGGTAGATACATCCATTGCTTGATCGGCAGCAATGGCTACTGTTTTTCCGTGTCGATGTAGAAGCTCTTTAACGTCATTAGTCCATCTTCTCCTAGAATGGCGTCTTGCTGTCACTTTAGATCCTTTCATTTGTAGCACCTTCAATGGTAGTTGTTCTGGTTGCATTCTTACTAACAGACTAAACTATTTGATCTTCTGTTTCTCAATAAATTTGCTGCATGGTGTTGTTTCCTACAGTCTGATAATGTCATTTCTAGCTTTTTCTGTGATGGTTAAGCTGGCAGCTTTTGTTGGTATCTCATTTCACAGGTGTTCATTTTACGCTGGTCATTCTTTGATAATGTCCCAGTCTGTCACTTATAGCTCAGTGTTGGTATGAATATGCGGTTTATAATCTGTTTATTGGCGCTCATACTTATGTTTGGATGACTTAATAACGGTGTTGGTTGGTATTTAAGTGCACTGGCTTGTTGGCATCTTGTTTTTATTTCCTGATCTATTCTTCCATCATCTGAGAATATACTTCCTAGACATTGAAATTCTTTAAGTTGCTTCAGACAGGTACCGTTCAACATGATATGTAGTGGACTAAAAATTATGCTGACATGCATTTCTTCAGTAAATTCATCTGTTACTTTAATTCCTTATGTCTCTAGTTTTACAACCACTTGATCTGTAATTGGTGTCTTCAATAGATTTGCTTTTCATAACTTATTTGTAGTCCAAACCTGGGTGCTATATTTGCTAAATCATGTTTTTCTTTTCATGACACTGTTGTTTTTACTTAGCAGAACAATATCATCAGCAAACTCCAGTTCCTCCAACTATGTGTTCTCCATCCAGTCAATGCTGATGTTTGCAAAACAACATTTTTTCATTACCCAGTCAATGGTTATTGCAAATAACAAGGAAGATAAATGGCATCCATGTTTCACTCCAGCTTTTCACACATTTTGAACCTTTATCATCATCATCTTCAGGTGCTTTGCCGACTGGCATGGGCGATCCTGCTTCTCCACAATCCGCGATCTCCTGCAGCATGTATCAGTTTATGTACTGACACACCTCAATGCCATGCAACAAGACTGTCAAGAATCTTCTCTCGTGGTCTTCCTCTATCCCTCCTTCCACAGATCTTTCCAGTGGTCACACCATGTTCCCTTTTGTCTCTTCTCATAACATGGCTGAAAAATGATGATTGTCTCCTTCTAATGTCTGTGATAAATTGTCTTCGAGCTCCCGCCTCTTTCAAAACTCTTAGTTGATTTTTTTGGCACACACAAAAACACATCTCTGAGGAATCAAGAAATTGTTTGGCCTGCCTACCGATTATCCAGGACTCACAGCCTTATTTTGAAACTGGATGTATGTAGCAAGCAAGAATTCTGTTTCTTACCATCAATGACAGAGATATATTGCATAAGATGTTCTTAATTTTTTAAAATGCAGTTTTTGCCTGTCTTATTCTGTTTCTTATCTCAGTAATGCATCTTCCATCTGATGTTATCCATGTGCCCAAACACTTATAGATTTCTGTACTTGTCCCAAAATAACACCATTGACTTTTATTAAACATTTAGTAAATAAATCTTTTTTTTTTTTGATACCACCATCACTTCTGTCTTTCCATTGTTCAAACTGAGATCCATTCTTCCACTTTCTACCACCACAATGTTTATTATTTCCTGTAGTTCTGTCCGACTTGTGACCTTTATGCCTTAATAACATTTATTCTGTGATGTTTTGTGTGAGCTATAAAAAGTCTTCTTAAAGTCAGTACAATACAATTCAAAACAATGGGTTGTTTTTCAATAAATTCCTCAAAAATTAATCTCAGTGTTAATATATGACAATAAAAAAATAAACATGACAAAATGGAAACCATCAGCCCATAAAATTGGTCAAACTGATCATATCTGTGCAAGCATGTAATTAACATCATTCTTGTAATATGTTAGGGCTTATGAAAGTGCAGATGTATTGTGGTATTCTTTAATTAATAGAATTGTTAGAGATGTCGCTCCAAACATCACAATAAATGGTAGGAACATAAACAGAGACAATGCACTAAAATATGTAAAAATCACTTTTCACAGGAGCCTGTCTTTCAAATACCATGTGAAAGAGGTAGTTTTAAAGATAGGGAAAGAACTCAATGACATAAAGGTAATGACATAACTGATATAGAACAGAAAATGATCTGTACACTCCACCAGCAACTGATGTATTTCGTTGAAAGATTATGGTTTGGGACTGCTAACATTATACCATACCCAAACATAGAAGCTAGAATGCATGCAAAATGAAGCCACGTGAGTCATTTTTTGATGTACATGGGACAAACC